TAAATGATTAACTTAAAATCTGCGCTTTAGCGTTACCATAACACTCTGTCCAAGTGTCAGCCGTTCGTCAAAGGAAGGTTCATCCGAACACGTCAATCAAGTTAAGTTCTATTTTGTCAATAGCATTCATAATTGACGAATGATAATGGTTTTTCTCAAATGCCTAATGCTGCTCCAGACATTTACATTATTCAAGTGTTGTTGATGCCCATCTTTTTGCACCATTTATCCACATAAATGTAAATAAATTCTAAATAAATAGGTAAATAAGTAAATAGATTTTCATTAGAATGTGTAGATGTTGAAAAATTGTGTTAGTTGGGATGGAATGTACCCACATATTAAGTGACGTTTATGATTTACAGCAAAATCAACAAACTTTCGTGACAGGTGTTTAGACGAGACTTGCTTAGAAGTGGCTTACAGCTGCAGTAAGTTCGCGAATCGTTTTGTTAAAACTGAGCAGATCTGTGTGCGTGTCATCAACGCCGGTAACATAAAACAACCGTAATACACTGTTGAACCAGGCCAACTAGAATTAGGCCTTCGTATATAAATGGAAGGCGTGTTCATTTGCCTCTCAACATTCACTGAACAAATAGGATTTCTAATCGTTGACATAAAAAGGAAGAGAGGACTAAAAGGGACTTAGTTTCGAAACTTTATAGTTTCATCGGAACCGATGTTCCTGAGGCAGCGTATTTATGCTGCTTTTGAAGATACGTCACAGCCTGATAACGTGTTTCCAGTTTGCGTTCGAGTATATGCAAAAACGAATGAGTCCAGGACGGCTGCATGAGGACAGCGTCGTAGTTTCAGGGTAGGCTTGAATAAATTCATCGGCGTAGACTTCACGCTGCTGTCCACAAGTGTTAGCCTACTAGTGTCGCTCTTAGCGTATCGTACCTAGCCTATAATTAGTCAAAATAATAGCTAATGACAGATATCTCAATATGACTTGGAAAGCTTACCAGTTACAAAAGATCACATTAAAATGACCATCAACGTACAGATATTTCTTGTTGGACCTCAAATAATAGAATGTGGGTAGTCTTTGGAACACTTACGTTTTTTTCTGGACGGAAACATTGTTTGGTAGCACGTAAGTCCATATACTGTAGCGTCTACCCTTTCGTGTAAGATCATCGACGGAGGCCGTGATCGAAGTAATCGGTGCTTCCCGATAGGTGCTTGAGTAAATGGAACTCTATGGAGTTCCATTTACTCAAGCACCTACTTCTACGTTGATTGCAGTTGGCTCGAAACGTTAGAAGACTCGGTTACCTTGCCATATAATGGTACATTTACTACAGGCTGAGCGAAAGGAGGCACAAGCCAATACAAAAAAGCACAAACTATCATTCTCAAATAATCAAATGTTATTTTTTAATTAATATAATTCAAAATCTATTTTATTTATTAACAGAATATATAGTTATTTCAATTAAACATTCTAAAATTCATATGATTTTCTTCGCATTATAATTACTTACAAACAATTTATATTCATATCACAGACCGACTTAGGTGCTGTACAGAACGTGATTTTTACAAAAGATAATCGGAACTGCCTATCGAAAAGAGTTGGAAAAGAAAATTGGAGCCTGTATGTGCTTGCTGACATGAAGGGTTATTTTTAAAGACGCATCCTTCATTAATAAACAGCTAATTTAATAACATAAAAATACCGAAGAATTGCAATTGCTATATTTACATATGCATCTATTTATTCACGCTACCACACTTCGCCGGTTATTCGTAGAACACTGTTTTAGGTTAAATTCGTTGTTCAAGCCTTCAATTCTGCTCTTCTCTATTTATTTCTTCAAGGGTCGCACAAGTGCGAATCCAGATCGTAACTTAACTTTTGTTCCTTCAAATTGAAGAGGTATAAACGCATAAAATATAGCATATACTTCTTCGCGTTCTGCCATAACCCAATATCCAGAGCCATCAGACAATTTAAAACACCAGAACGACCACTATTTCCATTCATCGGCACCTGCTATAACAGGAAGTGAGCGTCCTATAAAGACGTATCTCAAGTGGTCAACTTGATTTTCTCTATACATTTTGAAGATAGTCAATAATTGTCATAATAGCAGACACAATTGCGTTAGCGGTTTTTACATTATTGATATAGTCTTTGAACGAAACGTTATCCTTTTCACGCATGAAAAGCCCTTAATCAGAGTCTTCCAACTGCATAATAGTAAGGAAAATTGCATTCTCTACTAGCGGATTTTTCTCGCATGCCGACAGTTATAGGTTCATATAGTAAATCCTGAATACCAGAGTGGTGCTAAATGCGTCACATAAGTTTCTATATACTGCCGTGCAGGAGCATTTGTTTCTATCTTTACCATAGACATAACAATAAATAGGGAGAGGCTCATCGCTACTCTCGCATCGATACTACTATTTTTCTCACTATATGATATCTCATATATGGCGTCTGATATTTTTTTCACATCACGAAGGACTTCAGTCAAAAAGAATGGAAACCATATGGTATAAGGGTCTGATGACAAAATTGGTTGTAGCGCAACGCCGTTCGGTGCCGCGGCGGAGTAATTCGATTTCCAGCATTAGCAGCCGTTGTCGCTTTCCTGCGGGTCAATAATCTGCGAAAATAACCGGGTGCCATTTACTGGATACTTCCAATGGCCAACCTGAAGAAAGGAGTCTGTTATTTCTATAGTTACAGAGCTAATTTACGTGGGAGACTATCGTTCGTTAGTCCAATCCTGAAAGATTCGGGTGCCACCTCACTGATCCGCTGACATCTGTCAGCTATTCGTCAGAGTCGCTCTCCAAACATCTCCTTTCGTACGTTCATCATCATCAATCGACATGTTGCCTCGTACATCTTTTCAGAAGCTGTAGCAAACTCAACAGTATTCGCTAGTATTTAAGAAGTCTTCATTAATGAACTTAGCACCATATATACAATGTAATGGTGTTCTGTCGTTAAGTGTACACTGTATAAAACAAAAACACACGTAAAATGGAATCGTAGAAAGCATAACAAACATAAGCTAGATAATGGTTTAGAATATTTGTAAACAAAGCTGGATAAGCGTGTAAACATATATGACTCATATTTAGCTCAGACAAGGCGAACTACTTCTAAGATAGCAGAAGCCACAATGGGGTCGAATAGCGATAATGTCCATTTCATTTTAAGTAAGGAGAGTTCCCATACAATGTAGCGTTCGATTGATTCCGCTTCAATGTTTTGCGATTAACTAGTCTGTTCTTAGTCGTTCCTAGCGACTTGTCTGTCAACTTAAATGGACCAATTTGTTTACGCTACCATACTGCGATACGCTTCGTAGCGGCCCATTTTGAATGGACTTTTTCTATTCATTGTTAGTATGGATTCAGCATTTCTTCATTGTGCGGCCACCATGCTGCTAAACAACAGCTCCGCCTAATCCTGAGGGGGTTGGCTTCTTTTTTAAGAGAGCTAATGACCGAGAGCAGTGTTTTATTTAACAAC